TATATATATATATATATATATATATATATATATATATATATATATATATAATGTATTTTGCCAATTAGATTTCAATTCTGCAGATTAGCATTTAGAAATTAAAACAAGTGCATGCATACAGCTTGAAGTGATAACACACTTGCTAATGGGAGATGTTTTGTATCTGATTAATTTTTAAAAGACTCATTCACAAAAACACATCAAGAAATATAAGTTTGTCATATTTACAAGCATCTCAGAAGTTCCTTCCTCCACTGAACACATTGAACTTAACTAGATTTAAGTAGCAGTGATGCAGCTTTTAAAACATCCAAACAGGATTACAACTAAATACGTAAGTTGGAACCTTTTAAATATGAGTTTAATGAAAACATTAACTTCTGAATTTATGTGCCCCAGTACAGCGTGCATGTATTTAATCTTTAACTGGAGAGTAGAGACTTTTAAAAATTGTCTTTTGCTGACAGTCATCCACCTTGAGCAGCAACGTAAACTATATCCAGAATTCCTCAAGTTGAAAAGTTTTATTTTCACCTGGTTTAGTTTCGTCAAAAATCTTCTTTAAGGAACCTTTTGCTATCCCATTATTAACCGATTAAACGAGAAAAAAATCGACAGCTTGATCGATTTGCAAAATAATAGTTACTTGCAGCCCTAGACACAATATAATAATCTATTTTCCTTAAAAAAAAAAACAACAAAGCTAATATTTACATCAAAATAGCCCATATAAAACTTGTCTGCTCTCCTTAATGCATCATAATAGCATGTTTCCACGAGGATGTATGTTGTCATGGGGTATTAGGTGTACGGTAGTTTTACAAATTCCCAGCTTACCATGAATTAAACTGAATACATTGTTTTATAAACAAAACAAACCATATATATATATATATACACTATATTGCCAAAAGTATTTGCTCACCTGCCTTGACTCACATATGAGCTTAAGTGACATCCCGTTCCTAATCCATAGGGTTCAATATGACGTCGGTCCACCCTTTGCAGCTAGAACAGCTTCAACTCTTCTGGGAAGGCTGTCCACAAGGTTTAGGAGTGTGTTTATGGAAATTTTTGACCATACTTCCAGAAGCGCATTTGTGAGTTCGCTCACTGATGTTGGACGAGAAGGCCTGGCTCTCAGAAATGCGCTTCTGGAAGAATGGTCAAAAATTCCCATAAATAACATAATAAACCTTGTGGACAGCCTTCCCAGAAGAGTTGAAGCTGTTCTAGCTGCAAAGGGTGGACCGACGTCATATTGAACCCTATGGATTAGGAACGGGATGTCACTTAAGCTCATATGTGAGTCAAGGCAGGTGGGAACA